TTTCACAAGGGCAGAGGTGGGGACAGTCCATCCAGGCAGTGGGAGGGAGAAATGTCCTCTTGTCTCTACCAGCCAATTGCAACCAAGCTACCAAACGTAATTGTCTCCTGCAAGGAAGGAGAAAGCCATGCAGTACATGGTGGGTGCAGAAACACGTGAAGCCCAGTAAGAGGACTTTGACCATGGATTTCCTCCATTCTGGAGGGTCCTGGGGCCAGAGAGCTAAATGCCCTATGACCGCTCATGTCTGGGATTGGGAAATGGGACTGAAACAGCTACACTGGCCTTGTTTGAGCAGCTACCCCAGAAACTCTTGCCAATTTCACAAGGGCAGAGGTGGGGACAATCCATCCAGGCAGTGGGAGGGAGAAATGTCCTCTTGTCTCTACCAGCCAATTGCAACCAAGCCCTGAGTTCAGTGCCCCATGTCCACCTGGCGCCTTGCTGGGCTAGGGAAGGACTTCAGGTGAGACCTCCTTGTTGCATGGGAGGGGCAACCCCCCTACCACACTGACCCCTCAAAAGGGAGCTGGGAGACTTCCCAAAGCAACTGTCCCCAGCCACCCTTGGCTGAGAAATGAGGAGCAGACTCCCACCCTGCCCCCATTGGACTTATGAGGATTCCCTTCCCATACCTGTTTAAATATTAACTCAGCCAGGACAGGCCAAAGCAAACAGGTCACAGGACCAGGGCGGACACGAGGACAGACATCTGTAGCCTGTGGCTCCATATCACCCTCCCACTTGCCATGGATGTGCTCTGGCCCCTGGGGCTGATTCTACTCCTCCTGGGGACCCCCCTCACCCGCGCTAAGCCCCTGTGAGTCTGGAGGACTGAGGGGACTCAGCCAGCTCCCTGCACATCTGCCATCTGCCTGATTCCCGGCTTGCGACCCTGTCTGTTCTGCCGATGCTTCCCCCACTGGGGACCCCCATGACCCCGTACTTGTCTACCGGCAGGTTCATCCTTGTGACTCCCCGAGTCCTGAGGGTCAATAGCCCTGAGAACATCCACATCCAGGCGCACCCGGATTCCGAGGAGCCCCTCCCAAGAGCCCTCGAGGTGAACCTCACTGTGTGGGACTTCCCCATGAGGAAGACGGTGGTGGCTAGAAGACAGCTCCTCCTCTCACAAGCGAACAACTTTATGGACCAGGCACCTGTGACGGTGGGTGAAAGGCCAAGATGAGTGGCCATAAAGGGAGGCTCTGGGTCAGTAATAAGAAGAGTAAGGAGGTGAGGACTCTGGGGGTTTACCACAAGGGACACTGAAGAGTAGATGCAAAGCCTTGATGTCCTTTCCCTCACATGTCCTGTCCATTTAGAAATCAAAAGTCCCCCTAAGCCTGGGCTCCAAGAAGGGCCTGCCACTATCCCATATGATGCTTCTGTGTGAAGTATAAAAGACGCCTTCTGCTGGTAGCTTGGGACGATGAGCATGAACTGGGTTTCATCCTAAATTTGGCTGGGTGCCTTTGTGCAGTGCGCAACCTGCACAGCTGCACAGGGTGACTTTGCTCCCAAAGGCAGAGCCAGAGGGTCCCCACTCAATTGCTTCTCCCAAAGCCCAGAGCTTTACCCCTAGGGAGGCAACCCTAGCAGAGCCTGAGGAGTGTGGGCATCTTTTCCCAGGTCCCTGAGACCCTGGTATACCCCTCACGACCAGGGCAGCAATATGTTATCATCCGGGCAAACTGGGCACCCACCTCAGTCTCTTCATTCATGGAGAAGATCGTGCTGGTGGCTCCCCATGCTGGCTACATCTTCATCCAGACGGATAAGACCATCTACACCCCTGACCACTTGGGTACAGCCCCCAGGCACTTGGCCTGGGGCAGATGCTGACCGTTACCCTCAGTCTCCCCCAAATTTCTGACATGTCCCCCTCCCCTAAGATCTTCTCCACCTTCCAAGGCCTGCCTCTGTCCAAGGTACCCCCACTGCCCAAGACCCTTAGGATGACCCACCCCTCTCCACACTCTCACTCTCCCTTCCTCCATCCAACACTCAGAGTCTTCCCTTTCCCTACAGTTCAGTACCGGGTATTCACTGTGAACCACAAGATGGATCCTGTGACAAGGCCATTCATTCTGGACATCAAGGTGGCCTCTCCCAATGGGCAGTGGATCCTGGACACTGGGGTTATGTTGTGGGCTGAAGGCCTGGGGGCATGAACCACCAGGGCTTTCCCAGAGGACAGTCACCAGCCTCACCCCTTGTCCCCGCAGAACCCGGAGGGAATCACTGTGATCAGCCAGAATCTCCTGGCCAAGGACGGTCTCTTTGCAAACTCCTTCCACCTCCCAGAGCTTGTCAGGTGCCCTGATGGGAGACCGAGGGATGGCGTGGGAGGCTGTCCTTCTTGGTCTCATTCTCTCCTAACTTTCTGTGCCTCAGTTTGGGGACCTGGAATATTGAAGCCAGTTATCAAAGTGCAGCCTCGCAGAAGTTCAAGGCAGCCTTTGATGTGAAGGAATACGGTGAGGATGGTGGGGTGGGACGGGACAAGAGGAAGGGGGCTGGACATGCAAATGAGTTCTCAACGGGAGATGGGGCTGATGTCCACCTGCTGTGTGCCAGGGCCGGGCTGGGCGCTGGTGAGCAGGACCATGACTTCCAGCCCTTGGGGTTTGCCAGAGTAACCAAGAAAGGAGCGAGACAAGGAGGGGACAAAGGGGCAAGGTGGAATGCTGAGGGTGTCCATTGCTTTTATCCCACACAGTTCTCCCATCTTTTGATGTCCAGCTGATTCCAAACAAGACTTTCTTCTACCTCAATGATGAAGCTCTGGGCATTGACATCCGGGCCCGGTGAGTCCCCTTGTCCCCTGCCCTGCCAGAGGACCAGGGACACCAAGAAACCGAATGGGTGGAGAGAAGTGAGCCACTTCTGTAGCATTTAGGGGGGCAGAGGCACCCTTCTGCCACCCATGAAACAGTCTATCCCCTGAGGTTGTACAGACCACATCTGCCACCTTTGAGGTCACACAGACCATCTCTTCAAGTCTGTGAGGTTGAACAGGCCACCTTGTCTACCTAATGGGGTTATGCCATGTCTCATCTCATCTGACACCTCATGGCTTGGACCATCTCTGAAAGTCTATGAGGTGGTACAGGCAACCTTTGTCATCATGAGGTTGTCCAGACCATCTCCGTAGCTCTGTGAGATGACAAATGCCATGTTTGCTACCTTATGAGATTTACAGGCCATCTCCACAGCTCTATGAAGTTGTACAGGCCACGCTGTCCACCTGAGATTGTATGGGCCATGTCTGCCACTTCTGGACATCATACAGATCATTCCTGTAGCTCTAACATGCTGTACAGGCTACCTAGTCTCCCTGATGAGACTGCACAGTTCAACTCTGTCAACTCATAGGTTGGCCAGACTTCTCTGTGGTTCCATATGGCTGTACAGTTTACCTCTACCTCATCTTGTGGGGTTGCACAGGTCACATTTGCAATCCATTGTGGGTTTGTGGGACATATCTATCACCTCCCAGGATTGTGTGGGTCAACAATTTAGAAATCACCTACATTTACAAGGGCCTCCTCTGTCCCTCCCAAAATTGCACAGCCATCTCTGCAGCCACATATGGTATGTGGGTGCTTCCAAGCCAGTAGGACGGCCCTCAATTCCCCAGGTATATGTTCAACAAGCCGGTGAATGGACATGCTCTGGCTATCTTCGGGGTGAAACTAGATTCCCGCCGGATCCCTATCCAAAGCTCCCTGCAGAGAGTGGAGGTGACCAAATCATGACCCCTCCCCAGCCTCCCCAGCCCCCCACCCTTCATCACTCCCCAAGAAGCCATCTTCTCTTCCTCTCTCCTACCCTAAGAACAGGTCTCTGAAGGCCTAGGCCACGTCTCCCTCCAAAAGGACACTCTGATGGCCACCTTCGAGGGCCCAGAAAAAGACTTCATTGGGGCCTCAATCTTTGTCAATGTCACCGTATTTTCCTCAGGTGCCACTCTCACCCAGACCCCTGGATGAGGTCAGGACATGTTGTTCTTTCCCAGCCCAGACCCCTGTCCATGTGACCTAAGGCCACCTCCTAGCCTCAGTTTCCTCTTCAGAGAAATAGGAAAACACCAGAAGGGCCAGGAAGAGCTGAAATTTTGTTATTGTCTTTTCCTGCCTTCACCAAGACAGGGGTCCTATATCAGCAGTCCCACCACCGACCTAGGAAATTGAACCTCCTCAGCATATTCCATAGTTCCTCTGTCTCCACAGGTGGTGAAATGGTCCAGGCTGAGACCCTGGGGGTGAAGATTGTCCAGAGTCCATACAACATCAAGTTCACCAGGACACCTCAGTATTTCAAGCCAGGGATGCCCTTCCACTTTAGGGTCAGCATCTAGGCTTACTCAGCCCAGAGATTCAGGGCCCCCTCCACAAAACAGACCCTTCAGGAGACCAAAACCCACCTAGGACTCACTGGCACCCAATTCGTTTGAGAGTCCATCATGTTCTTCAGAGTAATCCCAAGTTCCCCTCAAGGCTTAACCCAGGTCCCCACAAAGCACAGTGATGGCTCCAGAATCTCTCTATGGGGAAACAACCGGGCTGGAATATGGTGCTTGAGAGCTTATCTGGAGGCTGCATTTGCACAGCAAGCATGCTATTTTTAGATACGTTAATTTAGAGTGGCTTTGAGATGTATGATGGACATTAGGAAATCTAGGGATATCCTTTGGTGCCAATCCTACTCCAAGTTTCCCCCAAGCCTTCCATGTCTTCTCCTACCTTCTGCACTTCCACTCTTTCCGCTCCCAATCAGCACACCATCACTCAGGGTGACCACATATGGTTGTACACTGCAAAACTTTAGGGGGTACTATTCATAAAGACTAATATGAATAGCACTCTCGGTGTTGTTCAGTACACCATTTGTACAGCTACACAAGGCAGTCCTATCCGAATTGTATTCTCAGTTTCCATCACTTACACCAGGCCACTCCCAGGTCTGTACTTCATCTCATCCCAGATTCCACTCCAGGTATTTGTCTCAAATCCTGATGGGTCCCCAGCCTCCAGAGTCCTTGTCCACTGCCAAAACCAGAGAGTGTACACCTCACCCAATGGGGTGGCCAGTCTCACCATCAACACAGATGCAGATCTGGACCAGCTCCCCATCATGGTACCAATCTGACAGGGAAAGGATGGTGGGGTTGGGGCTGTATGAGCTGGAAGTATTGGGGCTTACTTTCCCATCACCCTCCCCAGGTAAAAACTGATGAGTCTCTCAGGCCAGAAGAACAGGCGTCAGCCAATATGACAGCTTGGCCATATTTGACTCAGGATGGGTCAGGGAATTTTCTGCACATCGAAGTAAAGACATTGGGCACAGATGTTGGCAGCAACATACAACTGAGCCTCAACACAAGGCATCGAAACCCCTCAACCAAAAACAAGATCACTCATTTCACTATCCTGGTGAGGGGCTAGGACCAGGGCCTGAGCCAAGGAGTTCTTTCCCTGGAACAACCTTGGCTTGCTGGGTTGGAGGAAACATGAACAAAGGTGTGAAGGTGGGGACAATCTGGGGTGGGCTCAGACCAAGAAGCTGAAGCAAGAGTACTATGGTCTCCCACTGTGGACTGGGACAGCCTCAGGGAAAGGATGCCCTTCTCCTCTCATTCTTGGCCTCCTTTGTCTCCAAGGTCCTGAGTAAGGGCCAGATTGTGAGTGCCAAACATCAATCAAAAAGCCTAGGGAGTGTCTATACATCAACCATTATTGATGTGACTTCAGAGATGCTGCCCTCCTTCCGCATTCTGGCCTTTTATTTACTGCCCAGGGGAGTGAACCGGGACCCTGAGCTGGTGGCTGATTCCATATGGATTGATGTAATTGACAGATGCATGGGAACGGTGAGCCAAACTCCTTGTAGCTGCACATCACCATCATAAAGGTATAGAAAGGGTCTGCACAAGTTCAGGGGTTCCCAGTCTGGGAGACAGGAGAGATGAAGATGTGGCCTTAAGAGCTCAACACAGGGGGTAGAAAAGATGCAAGCAAATAAATATGCAGAATTGGGATTGACCTGGTGGAGTTCCCAGCTGCTCCACCAGAGCAGTAAGGAGCATGAACTTGAAAGTGGAGTTGGGTGGCTATGATCCCCCTTTTCTGACATCTCTCTTTTTCTTGGTTCAGCTGAAGGTTGGCTTGAAGAATGATGGATTCAACCAACCTTTGGAGCCCAACAGCCAAGTGGACCTAAAGGTTACAGGTGATGCAGGGGCCACAGTGGGGCTGGTGGCTGTGGACAAGGCTGTCTATGTCTTGAACAGCAAACACAAGCTCACTCAGAAGAAGGTGAGAGCATATGAGCTTTGGGTCAAGAGGTTGCCTAGGTATTCTAGCTGGAGTCTCAGCTTGTTCAGCTATAGAAAGGGCAACATCAATGTCTGTGAGTATACAAGGAGACAGTACACAGTATAGTAACTGGAAGGTGGTAAAAGCTCAATAAACAGGAGATGACGTGAGAATTACTATTTGAACCTGTGATTCCAGTGTACCATTGCTCTTTCCCTGGAGGGGTTAGATAGGTCCCAAATCTAGGTTTCTCTCTTGACCTCCAGGTCTGGGATGTGGTGGAGAAACATGACACTGGCTGCACAGCAGGCAGTGGAAAAGATAGACTTGCTGTGTTCAAGGATGCTGGATTGGACCTGAAGATCAGCACAGGGATGGACAGCCTGGCAAGCTCAGGTACAGGCAGGGAAGCAGGAGGAAGGCAAGAATAAGCAGTATTGCCTAGTGGAGTTTGGTGTCAAACAGACATGGTTTAAAATCCAGACACTGCCACTTACCATGGGCCAGTCACATTTTCACTCTGTCTCAATTTATTTGTCCATAAAATAGGGATAGTAATAGAAGTAGCTCACCGTGTGTCAGTTCAGATGTAGGTTTGGCATGTGTATCAGATACAAATTAAACAAGGTAGAAGTTTGTTTCTCTCTCAGTAACAATCCAGAGGTTATCCTGGGTCTCGGGGTTCTTCTAGCTTGTTTTTCTGCATTATTGCACGGTGGTACTTCATGATAATCTCATGCCAGGCAGTAGGATGAAGGGAAAAGAAAAGAGGAGTACACTTATTTCACATCTCATTGACCAGAACTGAGTCACATGGCCCCACCTAATTGGAAGGGAGGCTGGGAAATATAGTCTTTATTCTGAGTGGTATGTAAAAGATAGAGGTTTGGAGCTCCAGTAGCACAATCAGTTAGCGTGCAGTACTTATATAAAAGATAGAGCTTTAGTTGCCACAGATGAGAGAATAGAATGGATATGGGGGGAACTAAGAGTGTCTTCTTTCAGCTATAAATAGTAATGTTAATAACAGTTTCTATTTATGACATGCTGGACTCTATGCTAAGTACTTTTATATATGTGATCTTATTCATTATACCCATTTTATATAACTGAGGAAATAAATATCCACAGAATTTAAGTGACTTGCTAATGAATGCACAGTTTTTAAGTAGAAAATCTTGAATATGAGGAGCCTGTGGGATGAAATGAAGTTATGCATTTAAGGCAATGGGCATACAGTAAGCATCCGACAGATATCATCAAGGATGTTGAAAATGATCTTGACAAACATCTTCTCATCCTTCCCTCTGACACACAGACTGGCACTGTCCTCAGAGTCCCCCTCCCAACCGACACCGCCGCTCCCTGAAGAGGCTGGAGACAAAGAGGAATGCAGGTTTGAGCTAAAGCTGGTTATGCCCCTCCTGACTCCCCAATGTGCTGTATTCATCAGGGCTTAGAATAGGAAACCAAAACCACTGTAGGTATTCAAGCAGGAAGAAATTTAACAGTGGGAGTTTGGTGCTCACAAAATCATCAGAAGTGCTGTAGGAGTGGAAGTTGGAAGGCTGCTTGCTGGGACTCGAAATCTCCCCACTTCAGTTTTTATTATCCATGAAACCTCAGGAATCTGCTGCCAGTATCTCTCATGAGGCTGGTAGGTAGATAATGGAACACAAAATTGTGCCTGTTACAAAAACACACATTGACTGGAGCTCACCCATCAGCTACTACTGCTACAGGAAAAAATCATTTGTTTATCTTCTATTTTCCAAATATTAACACAAGAACATCTCGGTCATTGGAGCTAATCCCGTCCTGAGCCTTAGCAGTAAGGGGTCTGGGCAATGTAGTTGTTAGATGCATCAGCTACTACTGCTACAGGAAAAAATCATTTGTTTATCTTCTATTTTCCAAATATTAACACAAGAACATCTCGGTCGTTGGAGCTAATCCCGTCCTGAGCCTTAGCAGTAAGGGGTCTGGGCAATGTAGTTGTTAGATGTCTAGCCTCTGTTGATACAGGAGGAAATGCAGATGAAAGGAGAAATGAGTGCTGAGTGCCAATGGACAATATCTAGCAAACCTGCCATCCCCAAGGCCAGGGTATGAGCCAGAAGAAGAGACTCTAAGCCTGGAGTCAGAGGAATATGGGAGGTAGCACTGGATAGTATTAGAAGTGTGGATTCTAGTCCCAGCTCTGCCGCTTGGGAGCTGTGTAACCTGGGGCAAGTGGATTTACCTCTCTGTAGCTCAGCTTCCTCATCTGAACTCACCATGTGGGTTCAATGTGAAGCTTCAGGGAGAACATACAGGCAAGGAGTGAGGCACAGCATCTGCCACAGTCATGGCTAAATAGAGGCCAGTTGTACATGGCATTAAGGTGGATGAGTCCCAGCTTTTTAGGTCCTGCCCAAGCCCTCCTCTCCCTCTGACTCTGGCCCACAGTGAACAAGTTTAAGACAGAGCTGGAGCGGAGGTGCTGTGAGGCTGGGCTCCGGGAGAGCCCAGTGGGGCTGTCGTGTGAGGAGAGGACCCAGCATGTCCGCTACGGTCCAACCTGTGTGACTGCTTTCCTGAACTGCTGCCATCTGTCTGAGGCCTTGACTCGGGAGGCCCGGGAGGAGCAGCTGCTTCTGGGGACATGTGAGAGGGCCACCACAGGAGATATGGGGTGGGGAGCTCCACTTAGGGGTATGTAGTGCCACGGGGGGCCTGGGGGGAAGGTCCCACTGAGGAGTCTGGTGGGCCACAAGAGAGACATAAAGGAGATCCCACCCTACCTCCACTCCCTGCAGCGGATGAAGATGAAGACTTTGACGACATCTTCCTGGATGACATGCCCGTCCGGACCTGGTTCCCCGAGAGTTGGCTCTGGAAGAAGTTTACTCTGCCGAAAAGTGAATCGGGGTAGGGCCACAACCCCCATGCCGGCATCTGGTCCCCAGCCCTTCCAATCTTCGCGGGTGCTGAACACGAAATAATCCCAGTGCTGACATTGAGCCCTCAGGACAGACCCAAAATAGAACCCACCTAGATGGGGATAGAGATCCCAGGGGGTCTCACAAAATGATGACCCTCTATGGTGACCCAACAACACCCAATAGCTACCATACCCCTAGACAGTGCCCCCCCAACCCAGAGGTCTGTCCAGGCAGCACAGACTCAGTGATGTCCCCCCACTTCCAGCAGCATCTCCCACTACCCCATCTCTGTGAACGTGCCAGATTCCATCACCACGTGGCAATTTGTAGCTGTCAGCCTCAAGACTGGAAAAGGTGACCCCAACAAGCCCTGTGCTGAGGGGATGGGAGAGTGGTGGGCCTACCCAGCCCCCCTCTTGGGGGGTCTGCTTAAACCCAATGTGCTCCCCCGGCCCTAGGTCTCTGCATCTCAGACCCCTTTGAGTTGACAGTTATGAAATCCTTCTTTGTGGACCTTAAGTTGCCTTCCTCCGTGGTCAGGAATGAGCAAATCCAGATCCAAGCCGTGCTGTATAATTTCAGGGATCGCCAGGTCAAGGTGAAGCCCTAAGCCCTCATCCTCCCTGTCTCTGCCCAAACATCTGTCAATGTGTTTTGTAAAAGGGAATGGAGTGTATCCATTACTGCAATGGGTCAGTGAAGTGGTGGACCTCTTGGAAAGCTTCTAGACATTTTCTTATTCAAACTTTACAGTAATCCCATCAGATGGGTACTATTATTGTTCTTGGTTTAGAAATGAGGATGCTTAGGTACAGAGAGGTTAAAGAGCTTGCCTGAGGTCACATAGCATGTAAGTGGCAGAGGTGGCTCTGACCCAGGCAGGGTCTGTGATCTCAACCACTCTGCTGTGCTGTCACCTACACAGGCAATCTCAGGGCAGGGGTGGAAAAGGGACAAAGGCCCTAGGGTTCTGGGCCACCTCATGCATCAGAACCTGCCCTTCCTGCCCTAGGTCCGAGTGGAGTTTCCCCACAAAGAGCCACTGTGCAGCGCATCGAAGCCGGGGGCCCCATCCCGCCAGGTGGTGGTCGTGCCCCCCATCTCCTCCAAGATGGTGCCTTTTGTGCTTCTCCCTCTAGAGATAGGAAAAGTGGATGTGGAGGTCAAGGCTGTGGGTTATGGGGCCCAGGACCACGTGAAGAAGACACTCTTGGTCCGGGTAAAGAGCACCCCCACCCCCTTGCTGCTAGTGCAAACAGCGCAGCTTCTTCTGGGTCCCAGGCTGTTGATCATGGGAGGGGCAGGTGGGCCCAGGATCAACAGATGGGCCTCCCAGGTGGGAATGAGGTGTGAGAGAATGGATTGGAAGGTTCAGTCAGTGGGCTGGGCTTGAGGGGGTCACAAAGTCCCCACTCTGGAACTTCGGAATCTGGCCTAGATTCAAATCTTGTCTCTGCTGTGTGACCTTGGGCAACTTACTTAACTTCTCTGATCCCCCATTTCATCATTTATGGGGTGGGATAATCATCATGCCCATGACTCATTAGAAAACTGAAAATTACCCACAACCAGCATACCACCCGTCCACAATATTTTGTTTACTTGACAAACACATGTTCAGCACTTAAGATATAAGTGCTTTGAGAATATTAACTCATTGAGCCTTCAGAACAACACTATGAGGTAGGGACTATATTATTCCTCAGAGGCAGAGAGGGGTTAAGTCATTTTCACAAGGACACACAGCGAGGAAGCAGAAGAGCTGGGATTTGAACCCAGATATTTGGGCTCCAGAGTCTGTGCTCTTAAAAGCTAAGCAATGCTTCCCCTTACTTGTCATTATGATTGTCGTTTTTACAATTGTTGTTGTTTCTAACTTTCTCCCTTTTCTCATCCCTCAGGCTGGGGGTCAGATACAGCGAATGTCCCATAGCATCCTCCTGAACCCCCAAGGTTTGTGGGATCTGCAGGTGGTGTGTAGGAACCTGGGGCCATGACAGGGAGGAAGGAGGGGCTGAAATGAGGGTGTCTGGCCAGGTGGGCTCTCCAAGTTCCTCCTGGGCTCTGCACACCCTGACCTTCCCAGCCCCAGAGCCCGTTTGTCACAGAAGTTTGTGCCTGCTCAGGTCAGACCCAGATGGAGCTGGTGCAAAGACAGGACTTTTTGAACAAGGTGCCTGACACACAGGCTGAAGTGTTTGTCAGCATCCAAGGTGCCTGGACAGAGGTGGCTCCTGGTGGGGTGGTGGGTATGGGAAGATAGGGAGGACCAGAGCTAGCTCCTCCAGGGCCAGACTAGTCACACAGGCTGGAGGGGCTGGGAGTGGCCATGTGGGCTTATCGGGGGGCCATGGTAGCTTGGGCCACTTCCCAAGGTGGCTCCACTCGCCCGCTATAGGTGACATCCTTGGGGAGACCCTCTTGGGCAGCTTGACACCTGGAGAAACCCAGCGACTGCTGCGAGTCCCAACAGGCTGCCCCGAGCAGACACTGAGCTCCCTGGCCCCGGTGGTTATCCTGACCCGCTATTTGGATCTCTTGGGCAGCTTGACACCTGGAGAAACCCAGCGACTGCTGCGAGTCCCAACGGGCTGCCCCGAGCAGACACTGAGCTCCCTGGCCCCGGTGGTTATCCTGACCCGCTATTTGGATGCCACCGGCCAGTGGGGCAAGGTCGGGGTGGAGCACAGGGACCAGGTGATGAAGAATATTGTCAGCAGGTGAGAGCGGGACCCTTCGTGAACCTTGATGAGAATGTCTGGGTCTCTCTGGGAGAGTGGCTGGGCTACCCTCAGACAACCACACCCAAACTGTGACTCCTCTCCCAGACTGCAACATAATACCAATTCCACCAGGTAGCCCCCCAAACTGCTACCGGTGAGAGCGGGACCCTTCGTGGACCTTGATGAGAATGTCTGGGTCTCTCCGGGAGAGTGGCTGGGCTACCCTCAGACAATCACACCCAAACTCTGACTCCTCTCCCAGACTGCAACATAATACCAATTCCACCAGGTAGCCCCCCAAACTGCTACCCCTAGATGACTCCTTCACCCTGGTGCAATATAACAGACTCCCTGGTCCCCTAAGCAGTGACCCTCCAGGTGATGCTATACCCAGACACTGTCCCAGGCCACGCTCCCTCGGTGCCACTTCCTGAGCTACATCCCCAGGTAACCTCAGGGGACACTCAAGCACTAAACCTGAAAATAATCCCAGGAGGCTTCCTCCCAGTTACATCTGAATGCCAACACCTCCCCGGGTTATGAACAAGCCTCCCAGGTAACAACCAGAGATGGGCAACCCCAGTAATACCCTGACAGAGACCCCCCAAGTCAATTCAGATGCTGACTCCTCTCCCAGACTACACTCGGCCACCAACTCTCCATTCAGTTTCTTTCAAACAGTAACCACCCAGGTAGGACTGAGACACTGTCGCCTCCAATGTCACACCCAAATAGTAAACCCCCAGATAACCTTTAGGTAGTACCCAAGTGGCAATGCTCAGAGAGGATTTCTGAGAGGTGCCCTTCCAAGATTACACTCCCAGGTGACACAGACACACTGATTCCCCAACTTCACAACCAAGAAATAATCCCCAAGAAAGTTCGCAGGTAGAGCCTCTTGGGTTGTCTCTTTTCCTGGTTTACACTTGGATGGCAACCCTTCCATGATCCCCCCAAGCAGCAACTCCCAGGCACACTCTTCCCCAGAGTCCCCAAGGTGGTGGTTTTCCAGGTTACTTCCAGCCAGATACAATTACACCCTGGGTCCCCCGCAGTCACACCTGGGCCATGACCCTCATTTACACCTGGGCCCTGAAGCCTTCTTAAAACACCTGGACAGTGGGTCTCCTCCTACAGATTACATCTAAGAGGGATGCACCCCCAAGTCACACTCATACCCTGCCCCCCTCCCAGCTTGTTCCTGATAACTGACCCCCTCCACAGGCCACACCCAAACACCAACCTCCCTGAAAGCCCTGCTCCATCCATTTCCCCAGGTTACACACAGATGTTGACACACCGGAGTGCAGACGGCACCTATCACACCTCCAAAGGAAGTCCAGGAAGCACCTGGTAAGGATGACCCTGTCACTCCTGCCACCTACGCTCTGGAAGCCCGAGGGGCCAGCCTGAGACGTGATGACCCAGGGACATCCACGCTATGGGGTTTTGGGGTGGGCCGGTGGCATTCCATGCCGGCAGACCTGGAAAACAGCAAATGGGGGTGGGGCCGGGCTGAAGCAATGTGCTTCACGGTGTAGACTACCCTGGAATGTAGATGCCCCACCCCAGAGCCCTCTTGTGCTGTTCCCAGTTGTCACTCTCTCTCCCAACAGGCTCACGAGCTATGTGTTTCGGGTCTTCGCCCTGGCCTACCCCACGATGACAATCAGCATGATCGACCCACCCTCTCTCTGTGCCATTGCCAACTGGATCACCCAGATGCAGGCGGAGGATGGGCACTTCTTGGAGAAGGGCCCTGTGGTCATGGGGTCCATGCAGGTGCTTGCTGCCCCCTTGTCTGAGTCATTCCAAAAAAACTCAGGTGTCTGTGCACTCATCAGGGGATTTCAGGCCCCTGATCTGTTCTCCAGTAGAATGAGAACAGGGAAGAGCCGAGGCTCAGTGCTGAGGATCACATTTCCGTGGTCTGGACCACTCTGTGCTCTGTTACAATGTGGGTGAGGCTGGGCACATTTGGGGTCTGGTCTCCTTCTCACTCCAACATCAAGCAGTGGCCAGTTCTGGCCGTCATCCCTCTGGGACTGAGTCCTCCCTGTCCCCCAGATGGTGCACCCATGCCTACCAAGAGTTCCTCCACACCAGCCTCTAGAAATATCTTTCAAACACTGACATTTATTCTCTCACAAACCTGGAGGTTAGAAGTCCAAAATCAAGGTGTTGGCAGAGCGATAGTCCCTCCAAAGGCTCTCGAGAAGGATTCTTTTTACCTCTTCCTGCTTCTAGTGGTGA